AATTTTAGTGCGTGGTGCCTCTTATGACCATTGTAGAATTCTCGTTGTCCAACGGTAGGTCGGCAAATGGCACGAATTGTGCCATCGATGAAACCCCAGACTCGTAAGTCTGTTTCCGTTACTTCACGGATGGCACCAGTGTACATATCAAGCCTTGCAGGAGTGAAGTAGGGCCTCGTGAACGGATCCTCCAGAAGGTGACCCCACTGCTCGGTAAACCAAATCAGCGTGGTGTTGAAGATCGCACTCAGCGCCGCTTTGGACCGCCCAAATTCCTCCGTCATTTCACGCAACCGATTGGGATACGAGAGCCGCCTCAAAAGAACCAGAAGGCCCTCCATGCCGCTCCAGGACACTCGGCACCGGCTCGTCATCTAGGCCGGAAATCGAAGGACAGCCACCAACTTTTCTAGTTGTGCCTTGCTGAAGCGGAAACGGCTGATGACAGTCTCTTCATCGAGATCAGCCAGAGAGATTCTGTCGCCAATAGCCTGAATCGGATGAAGCATTCGCCGCTTTGCGTCATCCTCAATGGCAATGAGGAACAGCAGCAACTCCGTTCGGTCCAGATGACCTTCCGCAAACTCAAGGAGGAGAAGCGAATCCAACAAATCGACTTGCTCTGGAACAAACGCAGCCATTGCACATCTCAAAATCTCCAGTCCTCAACTGCTCAAGGTAAAAAAAACTCGATTCGAAAATACTGGACTGCGCGCTGCATGCTGAACCTCTTTTTCGTTCGAATTTTCGCTCTGATTTTCTTTTTGCCATTCGAATAATCAAATCGAAAATTCAATTTGCTGATGCTCCGTACTAACGTCGTCTTGGACCCAGATGGGCACATCGTGGATTTGGATTTCAACGGAATCAGGCACCAGTTGAGTGACGCGCACTTCCACTGAAATGAGATGGAAACCGTTTCGGCAAAGTCGTGTCAGAGCGTCTCGGGAATGAAACGTGGCCTTGCAGCTCAAGTTACTAGTCAGCTGCACGGATATCAGGTCGGTGTAGCCATGTTCAATCAGGGCCTCAGCAACTTCGAGGGTTTTCGTGTGCAGTGGAACGTGGAAAGTACCCGTGTTCCTCTTTAGAACTTTCGGAGAGACCGAATTCCAACTGCGATTTTCACCGGATGTGGGCATTTTGGAACGCTCTAACTATCTACTACCTAATTTTAAACTATCCAGTCCCTACCCTGCTCCAGACCGGCCTGCTGCCGGCTGGCTCCTACAAAACCTGCGAAAAACTACGGAGCTCGAAAAAAGCTAACTGCCCTGTAGCTTGTCACTGCCCAACGGGGGGGGGGGGGGGGGGGTACTTTACGGTACCCCTGCCAGAAACCATGTTCTGTGTGTGTGTGTGTGTGTGTGTGTGTGTGTGTGTGTGTGTGTGTGTGTGTGTGTGTGTGTGTGTGTGTGTGTGTGTGTGTGTGGAAACCTGGGAGTAGTAAAATACCAGTATTTACTACTCGCATGTTTCAGCCCGTTTCCATACTGTACTGGTGTACATACTGGACACGTGTCTGGCGGGGTCAACAAATCAGTACTCGATGGCGTATAAGATACGACTCGAATTTCGCTGGTTTCTGTGACAGACTGAACGCGAGCTTAGTGGGCATGTATGAACCGCAAACCCACCGAACACATCCCATGATGGACCAATGATAACCATGACAACCGCAGCTCTACCAACGTGTCCTTATTGTACTGACGGAAATGCAGTGGAACGAAAAATTAAAAATTAAATGAAATACGGAGGTGGCGTGGCTAATCAATGTGAGATGTAGTCAAGGTTCATTCGTGATTATTGCACCACACGATTCACTAGATCAGGGAATGTGACCTGCAAGACCCCGAGCACATGCCCGTCCACAGCACAAGACAGCAGAGGGCACTTTCCGAGTGGAGTGCAAACTCGCGAGTTGACGGGTTTTTCTCCGCCCCTTTGCGTAAAGCTGCTCAACTAAAGTTGCTCAACTTTACGTAGTGGCTACTCAGTGGGAACCTCTCTCATACATGTATTTCATTGGGTTTCCGAGCTTTCCATAGCTGGAAAATTCTTCACTGAAAGCTGTTTTGCTTCCTCAGAGTTGTACACAGTAAGTATGAAGGGGCTAACGACTGGATGTGCCCAACAAAGAGCGTGAAATTGATTGGAAAAAAATCACCAATAACTCCAATAATATAAATCAGTGAAAAGCTGAAACATTCTACGCAGAGACATGAATGAAACCCATGTAAAATTAGCAATACAAGGTGTGCATTCACTGCGAGAAGGTCAGTGATACTCGTTCCACAAGGATATACATGTACACGTACAGGGACGTGTGCATCAGAGCATGCCAGTGTAAACAACGAACGTGCCAAGGCGTACCACTTCGGTAAACACTGCAGCAGACCAGAGAAAAATGTAGCAACATGCTATGATTAATGATAATACCGGTAGTATCAAGCAGGGAGTAGTAAAATACCGGTATATTATTACCCCCTAGTATCAAGTTCTTGTCTCCATAACTTCCGATGGCGGTATAACAAAATTAAAAAAAAATTGGTGGCCGTTTGCAATGGAAGTCACAAGGCTGCTAGGATACCGAATAGCTTAGTCAAGCGAGCAATTGATAAAAAGGAGAAAATAATGAAAATGGAACTTGTCCACTGCCGATAGGATGGCAATTGATTCTAATTGAGATGCTAGCGACGCACTACTGTAGAGACATTGTACAACTTCTTTGCTAACATTCTAACTTTTCTAGTTGTCCGCAAAATAAGCATTGTAACTTCTAGTAAAGAACTGGGTAGAGTGCAAGAAAATCTGCAACAGATACTTAGAAGAGAAGAGGAAATGGAAGAGAGCTTGTCTAGAAATGTATGGTATCATGCGCTGGCATTGTCGGCTGGGACAGCCAGAAAACACCGCAGTCCTACCTGCCTATTGCTCAAATACATGCAAAGTCATGCATATGTGACGATTAAAGCTCTGGATTCGCCAGAGAAAGATAGCTGCCATGTTGCTACATCTGGCAGGAAATGACCCGCAGTGTGTGCATAGCCACTTTACACTTAGTAAAGGTATCATGATGTCTTTGGGGTGGCCTTCTCCAATAGCTCTACAACCGCATGAAGTTTCCAGAATCTCGCTCTGTCCAGTGGTGTTATGCCATTCTAAACACAAGACAGTTGCAATATACACATAACACACTTATCAGTATATACATCATGTCATACAGGTACTTGTGCAGCTGTACTCCGTGAAATCCCACCCAAAGTGAATTTTTAATTTTGGTGTCATGAACTTCCACAGCCCTAGACGCCCAGAATGTGATAAAAATGCAGCTGGACATACACATATGCAAATTGAGTGATGCAATCGGAACTGGTCCAGGGTGTAAGCTTTGCACTTTAGGCCGGATTTCCATACTCACAACTGTACTTGTCCACTGTCTTAATCCGATCCCTCCCGGGTGATTCAGGAGCAATTTCGGAGTTTGTGTTTTTGCCGCTTGGATTTTTTGGCCTTTTATCCTGCATTTGTAATTTAATATCGTACTAGTAATGCAGGTTCAGGCTGCGTTTACACGACAACGATTGAAAACGATTTGCGTTTACACGACAACGAAGTAGGACCTAAACGGAAAGAAATCGTTCCGTTTAGGTAAACGCAACGAAATCGTTGCGTTTACTACTATCGTTTACACGACAACGCCCGAAAACGATACCTAAACGGAACGAAATGGAAACGCACTTCAAAGTGTTTTGAAACGTTTTCAAAACGTTTTCAAAACGTTTTCGTTCTCGTGTAAACGGTGAAAACAGTGAAAACGATTGGAAACGGAGCGCGGTCATGGAAACCATTCCGCGCGGGACTATATTTCGCGGGAAATACCTGACCTTTGCGACCACCAGCACGTACCAACTCCAACTAACCTGTTACTTCCCGCCCTTGCGCCAAGCCAGCACGTGCTAACTCCAGCCTGATCGCCCGTTTTCCGTTTTCGTGTAAACGGTTCAAAACGATTTGCCGTACTCGTGTAAACGGTTTGAAAACGATTCGAGGCCAGCCCGTTTTCGTTCCGTTTCGTTCCGTTTCGTTCCGTTTCGTTTCGTTTCGTCTCCGTGTAAACGCAGCCTCAGTGAAACCCGGCCAGTTCATGCGGTTGCAGATTCGTAGTACATATCTCGTACGGTATAACTTCGTTATGATCGGGAGAAAAGTTGCTGTAAACTGAATCCGCCCAGGGCCAAACCAAGCGGAGTTTCCCATGCACTCTGCAAATTAAATGGCACTCACGGCGTCTCCGACATGTTGATGTAGAGTGACGCAAGAAACAAAAGTAGGAGGAAGGCATGCAGAAGACTTAGTTTCCGTGCTTCTGTTCTTTGCCCGCGAAACCAGTTTGTGCAGCTGGTATTTACATTGCATGATTGCCATTAGTGTACAGACATACATGTACACTTATACATCGGTTATCCAGACCCCAAAGTTACGGGCATTTCAGGCTACCGGGAAAACTTTGGGCGAGGTTCAGGGAAATGATAGTACTTTTTTGGCGATTTTGTGGAAATAGTGACGACATATGCCGTATTTATGGCCATTCCCCGTCAAAATGTATGTGATTCGGAGTTACGGACATTTCAAAGTTACGGGCAGCGCCCGGATAAACAAGTTATAAGTGTATTATATATTGTCGGATCACTGTGTCGTTGTACAAATTGGATCAACGCCCAGGATGTGGTATGAATGCGGCTAGATGTACACATAATATGAAAGTGCAGTGATGTGATCGGAACAGGTTCATGATACCAGTTTTGTGCTGTAGGTCGCATTTCAGTGAAGAGCATTGTACGTCGCTGCCTTAATCCAATCCCTCCCGGGTGATTCAGCGGCAATTTTGGAGTTTGTGCTTTTGCCACTTTCAAAACGGATGTTTTTGACTTTTATTCTGCATGTGTAATTTAATATCGTACTCGTAATGCAGGTTCAGTGAAACCCAGCCTATTCATGCGGCTGCAGATTCGTAGTACATACTGTAGAACAGGTAATTTAGCGACTAGTTTTATTTTAGCGTTTTACCATTGTCAACCGGTTAGCGACGTTTTATTTTCGCGATATGCAGCGATTTTACTCACGGATCACCAGTGCACTACTTATGTCTAAACGGATTAGCGACTTGAAACTTTAGCAAAAATGAGTTGAACGCTAAATTCGCTAGGGTTTTTACGTCGCTAAAATTACCCGTTCTACAGGACCTCGTACTGTGTTACTGTCTAATGATCTGGAGAAATGTTTCTGTCAACTGAATCCACCCAGGGCAAAACCAAGCGGAGTTTAGCATGCACTCTGCAAACGGAATAACACTCACGTCGTCTCCGGCATGTTGATATAAAGTGGCGCAAGAAATAAAAGGAGGAGGAAGGCATGCAGAAGTCATAGCTTCCATGCTTCTGTTCTTTGCTCGCAAAACCAGTTTGTGCAGCTAGTGCACCTAAACCCTACGTGAGGGTTCTTGTATGGAAATCCTGTATTCACATCTGGAATACTCAAGGTTCTGTATGCACAGCCTACTATTCACGAGGATGGAGCCTGCGCTGACCTAGCCTGCAGCAATGTAAGATACAATATACATGTAGCTCGAAATACTTTTCTGTTTTCAGCTCATGCGCCTGAAGTCCACCTGTAGACTCCTCCCGAAGTCGTTCCGAGTTTTAATTACGTCGACATCCTAACCCTTAATACGTGTAATGGACGGAACATAGTAATCATTGTTCCGTCTGGAACCGCTCAGGTGAAAGATTCTGGTATGATGGCGTCTCTCAAGAATATACCAAGCAATGGGAGCGTGACGATTTTGAGAACAATAGACACAACACCCTGGGGCAAAGGCCTGCACACATTATAGTCGTGAGGAGGCCGTAAATGAACATTTCCGGTTAAGACAGGATTTCACTCGATCGGGTGAAGGTCAGGGAACACATGATTTATCGTATGTTAATTGTACAGTGTAAACACAGAACAGGATTATCCTGGTTCATAACACTCAATGTTACTGTGCTTTACCTGATTCTTGATGTAACAGTCGGCCCCTCCAGCGATCAGCGCTTGACACACCTCGAGGTTACCTCTCCTGGCGGCATCGTGCAACGGAGTGTCGCCACGCTAGATGCACACGCAAGAAACAACAGTACAGGAAAAAAGTCTCAATGGGTTTGATTGTAGAACACAGTCACAACTGTAGATCAAAGCAAAACAATTCAGAGTGGAATTCAACAGTTGGTGGATATGGTACTACTTGTCTGGTATTTACATTGCATGATTGCCATTAGTGTACAGACATACATGTACACTTATACATCGGTTAACCAGACCCCAAAGTTACGGGCATTTCAGGCTACCGGACACACTTTGGGCGAGTTTAAGTGGAAATGTTACTACTCTTTTGGCAATTTTTGTGGAAATAGTGACGACATATGCCATATCTATGGCCATTTCCCTCAAAATGTATGTGATTCGGGGAAACGGACATTTCAAAGTTACGGGTAGTGCCCGGGTAAACAAGTTATGAGTGTATTTCATATTGTCGGGTCATTGTGTCGTTGTACAAGTTGGATCAACGCCCATGATGCGGTACGAATGCGGCTAGACGTACACATATGCAAGTGCAGTGATGTGATCGGAACTGGTCCATGGTACCAGTTTTGCGCTTTAAGTCGCATTTCGCTAAAAAGAATTGTACGTCGCTGCAATAATCTGATCCCTCCCGGATGATTCAGCAGCAATTTGGGAGTTTGTGCTTTTGCCACTTTCAAAATTGATTTTTTTGCCTTTTGTCCTCCATGTGTAATTTAATATCGTACTCGTAATGCAGGTTCAGTGTGTAATTGAATCTCAGGCATTCCGTTCCCCGGGACGCAGGACACACAGGACAAGACTGGTTTGTTACATTATGTTATATTTACAAGACGGAAAAGCAAACTGCTCTGACATCCTAACCCTTAATACGTGTAATGGACGGAACATAGTAATCATTGTTCCGTCTGGAACCGCTCAGGTGAAAGATTCTGGTATGATGGCGTCTCTCAAGAATATACCAAGCAATGGGAGCGTGACGATTTTGAGAACAATAGACACAACACCCTGGGGCAAAGGCCTGCACACATTATAGTCGTGAGGAGGCCGTAAATGAACATTTCCGGTTAAGACAGGATTTCACTCGATCGGGTGAAGGTCAGGGAACACATGATTTATCGTATGTTAATTGTACAGTGTAAACACAGAACAGGATTATCCTGGTTCATAACACTCAATGTTACTGTGCTTTACCTCATTCTTGATGTTACAGTCGGCCCCTCCAGCGATCAGCGCTTGACACACCTCGAGGTTACCTCTCCTGGCGGCATCGTGCAACGGAGTGTCGCCACGCTAGATGCACACGCAAGAAACAACAGTACAGGAAAAAAGTCTCAATGGGTTTGATTGTAGAACACAGTCACAACTGTAGATCAAAGCAAAACAATTCAGAGTGGAATTCAACAGTTGGTGGATATGGTACTACTTGTCTGGTATTTACATTGCATGATTGCCATTAGTGTACAGACATACATGTACACTTATACCTCGGTTATCCAGACCCCAAAGTTACGGGCATTTCAGGCTACCGGACACACTTTGGGCGAGTTTAAGTGGAAATGTTACTACTCTTTTGGCAATTTTTGTGGAAATAGTGACGACATATGCCATATCTATGGCCATTTCCCTCAAAATGTATGTGATTCGGGGAAACGGACATTTCAAAGTTACGGGTAGTGCCCGGGTAAACAAGTTATGAATGTATTTCATATTGTCGGGTCATTGTGTCGTTGTACAAGTTGGATCAACGCCCATGATGCGGTACGAATGCGGCTAGACGTACACATATGCAAGTGCAGTGATGTGATCGGAACTGGTCCATGGTACCAGTTTTGCGCTTTAAGTCGCATTTCGCTAAAAAGAATTGTACGTCGCTGCCTTAATCTGATCCCTCCCGGATGATTCAGCAGCAATTTTGGAGTTTGTGCTTTTGCCACTTTCAAAATTGATTTTTTTGCCTTTTGTCCTCCATGTGTAATTTAATATCGTACTCGTAATGCAGGTTCAGTGTGTAATTGAATCTCAGGCATTCCGTTCCCCGGGACGCAGGACACACAGGACAAGACTGGTTTGTTACATTATGTTATATTTACAAGACGGAAAAGCAAACTGCTCTGACAGAGACGAACAAGAAGACTGACAAAAGGACTCTCGACTACAACATCGCGCATGCTCATATCACACATGCACGCAACTAGACGAGACAGTTTGGGGAATGCCATCACACAGGAAAACAACACATCATTTCACAACATCTGCCCCCTTGATGACATTCCACAAAATAATAAACCCACACCACGACCACATGCACAACAGCAAAAGGAACCACAGCAGAACAGAAAAACGAAAACCAACCATCAACCTAGAGCTGACGCTCTATAATAATATCCGGGCCACGAAACAGGGCCAAACAAAAACCTAGAGCCGACGCTCTACAACCAGGCCACGCCACACAAGGCCAACCGAAACACGGGAGCCGAAGCTCCAACAACATAATAACATGCGCACAGCTGCACGAAATAAATCTACAACAAAAACAATGGAGAACAACAGAACGAATAGAAGAGGAACAGACCGACAACAACCAAACTGAAACAACACAGCAACAAGCAACGAACTGAACAGAGAGAGAACAACACAGCGAGCAAGACAACAAGACGAACAACCAGGACGACACACAGTCGGTGACGCCAGACTCGTCCACTGTTCTCTGGGGAGCCACGGCCACACGCTCCGCCGCGGTTCCTGCCGTCTCAGGCTCCAGTCCACAGTGACTGTTCTAGTCCATCACCTTCTCTGCCTCCTCTCCGCGTCGTCTTCCGCTCCCACCAGCTCTTCACCTCCTCCGCTCCCAGGCTCTGTTTACTTCAAAGTAACAAGTGAAACCCGGCCTATTCACGCAGCTACACATTCGTAGAACATACCTCGTACAGTGTTACTGTATAATGATCTGGAAAAAAGTTGCCGTCAACTGAACCCGCCGAGGGCCAAACCAAGCGGAGTTTAGCATGCACTCGGCAACCTGAAGGGCACTTACGGCGTCTCCGACATGTCAATGTACAGTGACGCAAGAAACAAAAACGGGGGAAGGCATGCAGAAGTCTTAGTTTCCCTGCTTCTGTTCTCTGATCGCGAAACCAGTTTGTGTAGCTAGTGCACCTCAACCCGACGTGAGGGTTCATGTAGGGAAATCCTGTATTCACATCTGGAATGCTCGATGTTCTGTATGCACAGCCTACTATTCACGAGGATGGAGCCTGTGCTGACCTAGTCTGCAGCAATGTAAGATACAATACACATGTAGCTCGAAATACTTTTCTGTTTTCAGCTCATGCTCCTGAAGTTCACCTGTATACTTCTCTCGAAATCGTTCCGAGTTTTTCTCCTTCGACATACCAGCCCCTCATACGTGTAATAGATGGAACATAATATTGTCCCGCATGGATCTTGCTCAAGTGAAAGGTTCTGGCATGATTGCGTCTCTGAAGAATATACCAAGCAATGGGAGCGTGACCGATTTTGAGAACAATAGACACAACACCCTGGGCCAAAGACCTGCACACAGTGATGGGGTGAGGAGGCAGTAGATGAGAGTTTTCCGGGTATGACAGGATTCCACTCGGGTAAAGGTCAGGGAACACATGATTGTGCGTACGTTATTTGTGCAGTGCAAACACAGAACAGGATCATCCTGGTTCATGACACTCGATGTCACTGTGCTATACCTCATTCTTCATTTCACAGTCGGCCCCTGCAGCGTGCAGCGCTTTACACATCTTGATTCTACCTATCCTGGCGGCATCATGCAACGGAGTGTCGCCAAGCTGGAAGCACAGGCAAGAAAAACTCCATAGCTGGCTATCGTCTTATCTTGACGGCAGTTCACTCCAGTGCATAGTTGGCAGGCAGACTTCTTCTCTCTGCCCAATCTCTGCAGGGGTGCCCCAGGGAAGTATCTTGGGCCCTACGCTGTTTTTAACCCTTTGAGGACTACCCAAAACCACCTGGATTCCTACCATTTTCAGGCGAAAAATCGATATTTTCAAAAATTGATCTAGTGTCATAAAATTTGGTTCTAAAGAGACATAGACATCAGTAGGCAACAAAAACCAAAGTTTCTACATCTTATATTCATTATAGAGGTCAGAATGGTCAATTCAAAATAGGTGTATGTTGCGATTTTCTCAAAAAATCGAGATTTTCAAAAATTGGATATGGTGTCCTAAAGTTTGATTCTAAAGAGACATTGATATCAGTGACATCCTCAGAAAAGTAAAAAGGATCACACTGTTCATCCTCACTATCGCTGCTCATAAAGATAATGCCGAGGGCCTCAGACAAGGAGACACTTGACAGGTTACGTGCCATCGGCACTCTCAACAAAGTAACAAGTTAGTTTCAAATTCCAAATAATTTCTCGATTGGCGCATTCTCTGAGTATACTCAAATGTGGCCGGTTCTCCACGGGACCGACGCGGATCGACTGCGACATGTCTCACCTTGACGAAGAATCAGATCGTACTCGTCTGAGCAACATATGAGCGACTACCAGCACCTAAAAATATATCGATATCGCAATTTTCTCAAAAACGGATATACTCGTCTTTAGGAATCCAGCTATACCTAAAAAAAGGGATATATTCGTCCTTCGTTCTCAAAGGGTTAATACACGTGAATGAATCTGCCGATGTTCTTGATGGCAATGCTAAGCTTGAGGCCCACTATTCTATACAGAAAGTAGCAAAGACTATGGTATGGCTGGATCAACCAAAAACTGACTCTGCTCGTCCTGGCTACTCTTCAGGGAAATAATAAATTGGTTGTGATTAGTTAGCATCAGAGCTAATGATCCATACATTATATCTTCCTGTGCTAGTTTACCCAGTCACGGCTACAGCAGTTGACGTCGGCTCCACTTTCCAGAAGTGCAGCGATCTTCTTCAGATCACCTTGTCGTGATGCAGATAGAAGATCGTCAGACATCTACTAGGGAAAAGGAAATCAGCGAACGTACAGAACAATTTTCAAACCACTTGCATGATCCATATTGTAGTAACGTTATCACATGACTTCTTCAGCTCTTTGCATCCTCTCGTTTCAATTAAAGATGCACTACCAGTTCCTACCAGTTCCTACAATGCCCATTCTGAACTATACATACCCAAGATTATCTTGATCATTATGCTGTTGGTCATAATGGATGCGTTATGCTCTTATAATATGAGCCCCAGCCAGCAGAAACCTGAACATGTGTAATTTTTTCAAAAATTATTTTTTCGCTCGAGATTGATTCTACACTATTAATCATTCAAGTCATCAAGTTTGGTGACAATCTGATAAGCGAAAGCGTGTAAAATAGAGTTTGAAGTCACACAGGTCAAGATTCCGTACAGTTGGCGCAGCATCCATGCCCAGTGACTCCATGCAAGTTGATCCTACAGTTTCTGATTGTGATGTGGAACAGGTACATGTAAGTAAATAGAATGCAAGTCAGGCTTGCCCTCTTGGTGCTGCAGGCCCCAGTAGTTCAGAAGTGTGACGATATTCTGTATACACCACTACCTTCTTTACAACACCAGAGTGCAAAACGATGATTGGTGGCTGGCCTTCCAAATTGTGTTCAGGGAACTCTGTGCTGGCAGTTTGAGCGTTGTCCCAAAGCTTGCCATACTGATAGATGTACTGACCAATACCAATGACATCCACTCCCTTGCACACTTTCACTCATACCATGATTTCAGCATAATAGTACTTCAAGTATTTCAATGATATGAGCGAATATTCGCGTTTTGTAGCACGTGAAGATGTTGCCCCAAAGCGTTCAGCCGGTTTGACTTTTTAGGAATCCCCTTTCTCAGCACAGGCAGCAGCCAGCTTGGCGTCGTCTGGCAAGGTAGAGTACTGATAATACTACGCTCTGTTTTGCGCCGTGAGAAGCCCTCCATCAGTGTCTGCAACATCATTGTTGTCGATGTAGAAATACGGATCGCTCAGCGGGTCGACATTCAGCTTCTCCTCGCAGTCGCTATTACTCCAGCACTGACTATCGTCGCCACCAGTATCCAGTGTCGATTTTATGAGGGCTCTTCGTTCCTATGAATCATGATGAGACTCGCCACTGCTGGACAAACTCAGCGAGATCGCCACCAAAGAAATAATTCCGATCGCGAACTAACTTTCAGCGCCGCTTCGTACAGGGAGTCTCACGCTGACAACTCTGGACCTAAGTCCTTGTCGCGACACCTGTCGCCATCGCTGTGTCTAAACTCAACCTCCGTTTGACGAGCTCTCTCACCTAGCGCTAAAATCGATTGACCAGACTCATTTGAAGACACTTGAAACTCTTTTGACAATGAAGACACCCACTCGATCGAAAAAGAATCTTCAAAAGCCAGCTCATTGCGCGTCCCAAACTTTGACGTCACATTTTGATGATTGATATCAAGTACACAAGTGCTGGTTTTCGCTGGCCGGGGCTCATATATAATTCTGAATTAAGAAAGGGTTTGCTTCCCACACTGGATGTAGTGAGCTGGCCAGAATGTAATGATTACTGGAATGACAAGAGACTATAACATACAGCAGTGTGAATGTAGCACATCATGAAGGTGTGAGTACGACACATGCAGTGATGTGTAGAATGCAACATATGACAGCTAGGTGGTGTAAGAACAACGCAGTCACTATCACTACATCACTCCTTCTCCCAAACAAAAAGCCGGTGCCGGGGAAAGCAATAGAAGGAATTTAAAAAGAGAAGAAGAAGAGAGAACACAATATGAAGTTTTGAATTTCAAAGCACCCAATGGAGGAAGATAGGAACTCAACTTCAAAAAAACACAAAAAGTTGTCAAGTTGAACTTTCAGAGTGAGTATGATGCATTGTTGCAATAATCTTTTAGGATAAACTGTCTGCGTAGAGCCGTGCCTTCTCAGTAAATTTGATATGCCGTCCGGAGCGAGTGACTGCACCATCGACGAATGAGCGCTTGCCGGAAGCAGCTGGAGTGTGTTCCTTCGGAGCAGGCTGGCTTTCACGTGCAGATGAAGGTTGAGAGAGCGGCATGTTGTGGCATGGCGAGCCCGGAGGCAGATCCACAGACGATAGACATGCCGAAACAGCACCTGGCACTGTAGACTGACCAATCCGAGCAGACTGTCCAGTTCCAGTTCTATCTGGTTCTGGCACTGAAGGCTGACCGATCCGAGGAGCCGCCTGTGCTGGCGCTCGCTGAAGGTCCACCTCATGACGGCTGAAAGACGGGTTCGCTGACGACATGGGTGGAGAATCGTTGGGGCGATGCGGTGAAACAAACTCTCGTACATGCTGCCTATTCCTCAGTAGGTAGCGAGAGCCATCGGTCACTCCTACCTGACGGCCGAACTGGTTCACCACGGTCCATGACTGAGACTTGTCGCAGTACCCGTCCTGCACAGTGACTTTTGTGCCGGGCCGAAGCTCAGAAAGCATTCTCACGCCACGTCGGGAGTCGTGTTGTGCAGACATTTCAGCTTTTGCTTTCAGCTGGTGCTGGGGATTCACAACGGTGGGGTGGAGTTGTGCCGGGACTCTTGTACGCAGTGGTCGAGAGAACAAAGCTTCACTTGGTGATGTACCGAGCATTCTATGCCTCGAACATCGAATGTCAAACAACACTTGGTTAAGACGCCTCTGGAAAGGGAGATGTGGCTTAAGAGCAGACAGTCTCTCCCTTAACACTCGATGCAGACGCTCCACCATGCCATTCGAGCGGGCATACCTTGGGCTGGATCGTACATGTGTAATTGTAAGCCGGCTGAGAAATGAAGACATCTCCCCAGACACAAACTGAGGGCCGTTGTCCGAAACTAAAGTCTCGGGAAGACCAAATGCAGAGAATACCTCATCAAGTTCATTGATGACAGAAGCTGAGGTTGTCGAGCGCATTATCTTCAGAATAGGGTACCTGGAGCCATAATCGACTATGGAGAGAATCGAGTACCCCTCAATGGATACGATGTCCACTGCCAGCTTTCTCCAGACGCCAACAACCTCAGTTGGTTGGAGCTCTTGCGCATTATTGGTACGTCTCCTCCAGCATTCAGAGCAGCGTTCCACGTATGTGCTTGCATCCTTAGTCATTCCTGGCCACCAGACTCTCTGGCGCAGGGTGTCTTGGAAGGCCTCTTGTCCAGGATGTCCTTCGTGTGCTAGGGTCATGATCGCTGTTCGTAAACCTTCAGGAATAACGAATCTGCCACCGAACATTAAGATGCCATCTACCACTGTCAGCTGATCACGGACGAGATAGTAGGGGTGCTCCGGTGGCAAAATGGCAAGCCACGAATCATACAGTACGCGTTGAATCACTTTGCTCACTACTGGATCATCTTGTGCAGCACAACGAATGTCTGCAATGCCTACTGGAGCGGCTTCCAAAACTAGGCCAACATACTCATGGAGAGAACGCGATTCGGCTGGAGAAGCATCAGTAGACGCTACCGGGGCTCTGGAAAGTGCATCAGTACAGAAGAGCTCCTTCCCTGGAACATGCTTGAGGGAGTAATGGTACGGCATGAGCGCGACTAACCAGCGCTGCAATCGAGGCGGCACATCGTCAAATGCCTTCTGCACAATCGGTATGAGAGGTTTGTGATCAGTGTACACCTGTACATGACGACCCAGAACATACTGGCGAAAACGGGTCAGTGCAAACACTATGCCGAGCATCTCGCGCTCCATCTGCGAATATCGGGACTCTGTGTCCGTGAGCGTGCGGCTGGCGCATGTAATGGGCAGCCATTGTCCCGCCTTGCTTTGCTGCCACAGAATAGCTCCCAGACCAGAAGGTGAGGCATCGGAGCTGATTGCTGTCGGTACGTTTACATCCGGCTGGAAATATGCAAGTGTTTGCAATGAAGAGACTACAGCTTGCTTAGCTGTGGAGAACGCTTTGAGAAGATCATCGTTCACAGTGAATGGTTCACGCTTCATCAGCTGGCGTAACGGCTCTGTGGCTTCAGTCAGGCGAGGAACAAACTTTCCTAAGTACGTGACCATACCCAAGAAGCGGTGTGCATCCGCTACAGTCTTTGGGGCGGCCATGTCGGCGATAGTGCTTAGCTTGCTGCTGTCCGGCTGAACTCCATCTCTGGTGAACGTGTGGCCCAGGTACTTGACCTGGTCTTTGCCGATGTGCCACTTGGCCCAGTTCAGCTTGAGGTTTGCTGCCTTCAGGCGTTCCAAGACACTCGCCAGGCGAGCATCATGCTCAACTTGATTCCTTCCGAAAATCAATATGTCATCTATGTAGACAACAACACCCGGCAGGCCAACTAGAATATCCGACACCACTCGCTGACAGATTTCAGGGGCGCATGAAATACCAAACGGCAGTCTCTTGAATCGATACGATCCACAGTGAGAAGCAAACGTTGTAAACGATCGTGATTCTTCCTCCAGTAACAGCTGGTGGAATCCCGATTCGGCATCCAACACTGAGAATACTTGTGCTCCTGCTAACTCGCTGGTTATTTCGTCTACCGTTGGGAGAGAATGGCGTTCTCTAATGATGGACTTATTCAGCTGTCTATAATCCACACATAACCGGAGTGTACCGTTAGACTTACGGACAGGCACAACGGGCGAGACCCAAGGCGATGCCTCCTTCACGGGCTCAATGATGTCAGCCTTAGCCAGGCGTGCCAACTCCTTTTCTATGTCGGCTTTGGCGCTAAATGGAGGGCGACGAGCTGGTTGGGCTACCGGTCTAGCGCTCTTGTCCACAGTGATAGAAACTGGAGCAGTTTCAACAAGACGTGCTGTATCTGCCATGTGTGCATTCACAAGCAGTTCCAATTGTGAGATGACATCTTGTCCAAACAATACAGAACGCTTGCCAGCCGGTACAACGAAACATTCACAGAGAATGGTGTTGTCTCCTACAGCAATATCGACGTCCGCCATGCCAAGAGTCTTCACTTCGCCACCGTTCTATGCTCGAAGTATGCGGTCACTTGAGCGGGTAGGCTGCACCACATCATCCGTGAGAATGGTGCGTGTTGCTCCGGTGTCAAGCAATCCCTCACATGGCTTGCCATTCACCATCAGTGTCATGGTGAACTGGCCTCTGGCTGCCTTATCGCTGCACGCGAAAATAGAATCATACACCACTTGTGCAGTGTCACTGTCTTCCTCCGCATCCACTGCATTGGCTTTGTTAGGCTTGCGTGAGAGACAAACCGCTTCGAAATGGCCAACTTTCCTGCAGCTGTTGCAACGGACATGTGCTGCTGGGCAGAACTGCTTTCCATTGGCATGCATTCGACCACAGTACTTGCAGCCAGGACCTTTCGTCATTTTCCTCTTGAGCTGGTGCTTGGGTTGACTGCCTGACACAGCCGCTGTGGTCTCTGGCTTCACACATGCTGCTACACTAGGTCCTGGTTCACTGTTGTACAAGTTGGAGTCCAAAAGTGATGCTTCCATAGCAACTGCCTTCGAGAGAGCATCCGCCAAAGTCAGCTTAGGCTCCTTCAATAGTTCGCGCCTCGAGTCTTGCGACCTCAATCCAGCAATTAACTGGTCGCGGACTTGAGTATTGACTACAGTGTCAACATCTGTCGATGCGAAACTACACAGTTCCACTTTCTCTCTCAGCCGACTCATGAAAGTTGAAACCGATTCGTCCGGCAGCTGCCTAATCTGACGAAACTTGTGCCGCTCTGACGTCGCATTGATGGACGGTCGAAAATGGCAACGAAGTGACTCAGTGAGGGCTTTGTAAGTGTCTCCCGGGTTATCGTCAGTTGCATCGTCTGGAACGGGAACGACTAAACCTTTGACGATCCTCCTGACATTGAGACCGGCGAGATTCAAGAAAAGGCACTTCTTGTCTCCTGGGTCCGTCACTTGGCAGATCTTCATATAATCATCGACATCTTCTAGCCAGAGATTGAAGTCTGCGCCCGTATCTCCACCATAGCCAGGAGAAAATTCTTTCGGAGGTCGTCCCTTTGCCATAGCGTCAAGTTGTTTGAGCTGTTCACTGCGCCAGTGTAGTGAGCTGGCCAGAATGTAATGATTACTGGAATGACAAGAGACTATAACATACAGCAGTGTGAATGTAGCACATCATGAAGGTGTGAGTACGACACATGCAGTGATGTGTAGAATGCAACATATGACAGCTAGGTGGTGTAAGAACAACGCAGTCACTATCACTACACTGGAGCTCACTCTTTTCCATCGCTTTGACTTGACACTGGACCGACTCACGACTGACATCCAGAGCACATGAGAAGTCCATCGAACCTTCCAGCTCTGTGTGAAGGCAATATCACTCCTTCTTCTACCTGATAATCGTTCTCTCAGACTTACTTTTACGTTTGTGTTCGAACTGTCTGTGAATCTTTTTTCCTTTATTTTCTTTCTTGCCATGTACCAGCTGCTGAACTGTGCAGTTGTAGCAGTCCCTTTTTTTGGAGTGTGCAGTAAAGAGAGAACAGTCACTCACCTTCATTCTTTGCTCTGGTGGTAGCCAAGTCTTCCTGGGCATCTTTGCAGGGCTCATCGTTACCTCTTCCTCCTCATCATGCAGCTCAAATGAACTTTGCTTCAGCTCTGTTGTCAGACTCTCAATCTGTATGAAGCCAATCAATTGATATGTGCGACAAAGAGGATTTGCTAGGGTAGAGGATGTCCGAGAAATACATCTTTTATGTTATTATGGGTGATCTTTATACACATCCTAGGGGTATAGCCTTGGGCGTTACCAGGCGTACAGATTTTGCAAATCCTTGTTTTCAAGTTGAAAATGATGAAAATGATGCTAAGTGCTTCCGTTTTCCATTTTGACCTCTAAGACCTCTACATAGTCTTAGTGCACCTTTTGTAGTTGGCGTGTTCACCTCTGTGTGCGCCGCTGCGCGCAGGTCATGCCACTGACGTTTACATGTTGTGCAAACATTCAAATAGTCTCCTTCCTGAACTCTTTTTCTTTGCCATATGAACAACGTTTGCTCTTTGAGTGGAGTGGGAGAAGAGCTCTATCGTTGCGAGTGAATGTGGAATAAAACGCTTGACGACAATTCACCAACTGAGAAAACTCCTTACTGTACTTAGCTGAAACCAACCGGTGTTCTATAGCCCAAGCATATGATTTTTTCCAGGCCAGTGTCCCGCCATAGACATTTGGCCTTGTCACACCATTCTGATGAGTTCATGATGAAGATTCCGTTTTTTCACAACCGGCTGACATGTAAAACTATGCGCAAATGAACTTGACTTATACCGGCTTGCACCCGCTCCATACCTCTTTGGACAAACCCTGGACGTGCTAGTAGGAGTGCTCTATTTCACCAGTATCTGCTCAGTAACTAGACACACCTCTATTGTTACCAACTTCCGCCTCTTTCCATAAGCTAGTGAGGGACAAGGCCCAGGTGAAAGATAAAGCAGAGCAAATCTTAACTCACTCGTTCCGGCGATGTCAAGAGCCCGTCTTGGAATGCTGCAAGTTCCTTCTTTCGTCTGTGTGTGAGTGCAATCAGATTTTGTGTTTTTGAGCTGGGCATTTCTGATAGAGAAACAAGCAAAGTAAATAATTTAAACTGTTAGGAACATGGATAGAGGGAAGGAGAAAACGACCTGAACATTGCCTGTACACAGGCTACTGTCAACACAGTGGCCCATTGAAAGCCGTCCAAGTGGACTCCCATGTCCAAGACTTATTACCTACAGATTCTAATTATGTACCAAGTACCCTTACTGACCAACAGGACTTTGTGTTTGTAGTTGTAGGTAAAACAGCGTTTATCAAGTTGGACAACAATGAGCTGGATATATTGAGAGCAGATTAACTATCCTCTCCCTCGTCGCAACCCAACCGAACTGAGGTACCCAATCCCTGATGGGTCTCTTTGTGATGGGAATGATCTTCAATGAAATGTAACATGTAAAGAAAAGGGACCTATAAATTACTACGTCCACTTCATCCCCACCACATTTGGCCTCTGCGGCCGACCACGAACATTCCCCACAACAGCAAAAAGAGGTTCGGAGTACTGCAAATATTTTAATTCATTCTGACAGCTGTTTCGGCCATCGGAGACCTCATGAGAGAAGGTGGAATGTCGAATGATTCAAAAAATAAAGAAATCACCTATTTTATACTGACTCTTGAAACAGGATGGCGCGTCAATAAGCGCGCGTTTGATACTCAAAGTATGACTCAAATAAGGTTTAAACTCAGTGAATAGTTGTTATTGTTTGCAGGCAACCTGCCTACACTCAAGAGAACACTGCATTTCACACAAATCCATTAGAGGTATCGTTTCAACGTTTCGGTCCTCATGACCATCATCAGGAATGAAGTGGACATGAAAAAAACAGTAGTATAAAAGAAGGAAGCAAAGCGCGGAACCTATAGTGACAGCGCGCGTAGAGAAGTGCAAAGCACGCCGTGGCAAGTGCTACATGAATAGTTGATATTGTTAAAATCAAAGGAACGTCAGGATAGAGGTGATAGTTATGCCGGATACTGCAGCGCAGCACAGCTAGAGGCGTCCTGCGAGTGACCCATATGGCATCTACTCCATGCACTCCATCACCATACTGCACCGTCGGCTCACTCATTGCGCATCCCCTTTTCAAGTGCCGTGTGCGGCTGCTTACTTTCTTCTTACGTAATTCAAGTTGTGTGCCGTTCAAGCAGCAGTGGAGTGGAGAGGAGAAGAAGAGTGAAGAAAACAACGTAGTGCAGTGTCATGGAGCCAAGGTCCCATGGACGTCCCGGGTGACAGCTGTGTGCGTGTGTTTTTCAACACAAACAGCCAACAATTCTACAATAATGACTGCGTACTAGTAATATGTACGTGAACTCAACTGGACGGGCACGAAGTGAGCCGACAGTGCAGCACGGTGAGGGAGTGAATCGAGTAGATGTCAGATGGGCCACTCGCATGACTACTGTATCTGTGCTGTGCTGCAGTATCCGGCATAACTATCCCCTCTATCCCGACGTTCCTTTGATTTTAACAATAACAACTAGTCCTTGAGTTTTACACCTTATTTTCACACTTTGAGTATCATGTGAGCATTTATTGACGTGCCATCTTGTTGCAACAGTCAGTATAAAAAATAATAGGTGATTTATTTCTTTGTCAAGTCATTCAACATTCTACCTTCTCTGATGAGGTCTCTGATGACCGAAACAGCTGTCAGAAGGAATTAAAATATTTTCAGCACTCTGAACCTCTTGTTGCTGTTGTGGGAAATGTTCGTGGTCAGCCGCATAGCGCAAACTTTCCGCACCTGAGCCATAGATGTGTTGGAGCTAGGTATCAGGTCGTCAAATGTCTCAATATCCTTGTCATTTTCGTGCCTCGTTGTCGCACTATCTGACTGTATATTATCTCGTTACCTTGGTGAACTGTTAGTCATAACTAGTAACTTATAGGTCCTTTTCTCTTTACATATTTACTATTGGCTCAACATCCGAGGTTTAATAAAATGTAAATCAAAACAGAAAGGTTATGTTAGTAAGGTCATTTGTTCAACCACTTTGCAAAACAGGCATGGCTGCACAGTGTCCTCTTTCATCACCTGTATAAGAGATCTGCGTACATTAAAATATGGTCCCCACTTCTGCGAAACCAGGCTGAGGGTGAAAATCATTTTCTTTAGAAAAATTATGTTTTGTAAAAAGGTTGTGCCGCGTGGGTGCTCGGGTGCAGCGAAGTGGTACCAAAGAGAATCTCGCTTATTTGAAGAAGGAGCAGTCATGGCAGGAAGGTTTTCAGCAGTCAGGGAAGTCATAGGACTTCCAGTAGGATATTCCCTGCTACTCCTCCAGTCACGACGAAGAGTATTTGAGCTGACCGAACCGATTTCATCTCCTACACGAAATTTCTGCGCTAGCTGCTGCTGCGGAAAATGGAAAAGAAATCGTCTCCAGTTAGAGTCGTGATGGCGACAACGAGCAGCGCCTGGACGACATCGATCCAGCCAATCAAAGTACGGAGGCACTAGCTGTTCCTGGGCCTCACGCAAAGCAAAAACGCCCAGCAGAGCTGATGCGTTTGCAGCAAGTTCACGAGGAAAAAAGTTGCAAGAGCAGTGTGAAAACTGTTTTGAATGGAAGTCCTTGGCGATGAACTGCTACTGAATGCCAGGCAAATGAGCGAGCAGATTGAGAGGCCCCCACTCGAGACTTTCCTCGCTAGCAATCTAGCTGCACGGGTACAGCGTGCCAAGATTTCACTTCCTGGTCAGCACCAAGCAGACACTGCAGCACGCCAGCACACTATGTGCATACTATGAACAGTGGGACAGCTTGAAAGGCCGTATTCTTGCTTGTTTCTGAACAGTTGTACTAGATTAACCCTTCAAAAAGTACCATGATGTCACCTGGAGTCAGGTTTCCTTGTAGTGTGTCGCGCCAGAGCACGCCAGGACATGTATTCAGCCCCAGGATGTGCTGAGTGAGGAGCAAAGTAAATTCATGCCGAACTGTCCATGGCCAATACCGCCTGCAGCACCAAGGGGCCACAACAAGCCTGCCCCCACATATCTACCTTGTTTTGTCACGCAAACAAAAATCATCCATGTCTCCTCCTTCAATCTGGTGGACGTGGATCTCTCTTCATTTATTTCCTGTGATAACGATTTATAATAGCTATAAAGAGAACAAATTCTGCTGTCATCGCCACACTACAACAAAGTCATGAAGGTTTACCAAAATCGATTTTCTTGTCACAATCATCAGTGGAAAGCCGTGACTGAAGAATAACCATGCCAAATCAATAATTTATATACATTCAATAATGTGTTACGAGAACAAAACAAAGCGCTAAAAATAGAATGAGGGAAGGTGAGACAATAGAAGTAAAGTGAGAGCTAAGTGCAACAGGGATGAGGAACTAATTGCAACGCTAGAACTGTGTAGTGAGACAAACAATCATGCTGTGCACCTACGAAAACAATCTTAAGAGAGCATGTCTGAGAATACCAAAGTATGTGTGCAAGTGGATCTCTCCGATTTCGCTCAAAATTTGCAGGTAGGTTCCCTTTGGGGTGTGGATCGATTATGCAAAGCCCTTGAAAAAGTTTCTGAAGGGAACCTTGAAATTTGCATACCCCTCAAAAATGGCCGAAATATCACATTATTTATGGGTCTAGAAACGAGTCACGCCACAGCGTATACGAACAAGCTATGAACAAAACTCCATCAAGCCAACATTGCCTCACCTTAGAAGAGTTCCTGGAGCAGTACCGCTTAGCCACGCCAGCATCCCAGAAGACGAGGTCCATCACCCCCTGACGCCACAAATGATCGTCTTGAAAATAGCCAATTTACAAGCGCTGGCAAAACAGCCAGCTACGTCCTCAATTGGCCAGAACTATACACCGGCAGATAGTAGAACACCTCTTCTAGCGCTGAGGACATGTCCCCCATCTTCCTTTTGGGGTTTTCTTGAAATAAACTTTTTTGAATTTTTCCACTCGACCATGCTGAAATACGGCCAAAGTCATACCTGCGCAGGAAAGCTCGCTACTCCGCGACGTCTCCTCAGGAATTTCTACTCCAACACTACTCCCAAGGCCGCAGAACAAAGTGTAGTGTTGACTCTGACAAGGAAAAGCAGCGGTGATCACTTGTCACTTCAAACGACAAGCTTCTCCTTGCGCCACCAAAAATTTTTTGTGCGACTGTTGATGCAAAAGTGACTGAAGGCCTGAGCGCAGTTTTTGAATTTTATTGCAAGATGCACGGTGAGATCGCGTGCTCTGTGACGTAGGATGACGCTTCCTGCATCACGTTACGCGGCCATCGATCGCGAATGTGCCTGGAACGCTACTCGGAACAGACCATGATGGCAGAGGTAAGATGAGCTTCATTTCCTGCTTGAACTGCTGAGAACCCCCACAAACTGCCCTAGGAGTGTTGCAATGGCAGCAAGCCGTTGGAATATGCCCCGTACAGCATAGAGAGTTATTCGTCTTTCACACTTACCTCCTGCAATCCCGAACATAGTCCAACAGTAAAAGTCCCTTGTTTTCATGTCGATGCTCGACAAAAGCGACTAGCTCGGTCCCTTTGTGTTGACTGGCACGCGAGCAGCACTGGCTGCACGCACTTGTCGCGTGAACTGCATGAGAGATTTCTTACGTCATAAAGAATGTGATTTCATCATCATTTCACTGGTCTTCGACCTACATGGTCAGGGAAAGTCCCGGTTCGTAGGCCTACAACACGGTCGGCGTGTTCTTGAGCGCCGTAACAACACAAGTGTGATCACTTCCAGACCAACGGGCGTTCAAGGCGAGTAACAAGCGCACTTGACAAAGGTGACTCTGAAATCTCGTGAGCCGTGGGCCACGCGACTTGGCATTCTTGCGTCACAAGGCACGTGATTTCACCATGCATCTTGCAATAAAATTCAAAAACTGCGCTCAGGCCTTCAGTCACTTTTGCAGCAACAGTCGCACAAAATATTATTGGTGGCGCAAGGAGAAGCTTGTCGTTTGGAGTGACAAGTGATCACCGCTGCTTTTCCTTGTCAGAGTCAGCACTACACGTTGTTCTGCGGCCTTGGGAGTAGTGTTGGAGTAGAAATTGCTGAGGAGACGTCGCGGAGTGGCGAGCTTTCCTGCGCAGGTATGACTTTGGCCGTATTTCAGCATGGTCGAGTGGAAAAATTCAAAAAAGTTTATTTCAAGAAAACCCCAAAAGGAAGATGGGGGACATGTCCTCAGCGCTAGAAGAGGTGTTCTACTATCTGCCGGTGTATAGTTCTGGCCAATTGAGGACGTAGCTGGCTGTTTTGCCAGCGCTTGTAAATTGGCTATTTTCAAGACGATCATTTGTGGCGTCAGGGGGTGATGGACCTCGTCTTCTGGGATGCTGGCGTGGCTAAGCGGTACTGCTCCAGGAACTTTTCTAAGGTGAGGCAATGTTGGCTTGATGGAGTTTTGTTCATAGCTTGGTCGTATACGCTGTGGCGTGACTCGTTTCTAGACCCATAAATAATGTGATATTTCGGCCATTCTTGAGGGGTATGCAAATTTTAAGGTTCCCTTCAGAAACTTTTTCAAGGGCTTTGCATAATCGATCCACACCCCAAAGGGAACCTACCTGCAAATTTTGATCGAAATCGGAGAGATCCACTTGCACACATACTTTGGTATTCTCAGACATGCTCTCTTAACGCAACTACATGTTTCTTCTGCTTACAAAGATCAGGCTTATGCAAACGAATACAAACAGCCTCAAGTACTTTCAACTGACTAGCGTACCGTGCACAACAAAGAACAGAAAAACTAAAATCATCATACACATGCAGACACTTAGGGTGAGACAACAGATGAAGAAAAACGGCAGACTTCTTACGATCACAATCACCATCCGATTCCTCGTCTCCACCAACCGCAACCTCGTCCCCCGTCTCATCTTCCAACTCGTCCTCAGTGTCGTCCTCCGTGTCATTCTCCTCATCACCACCGATCGGTCCCAGGCTCGCTTCACGTTGCTGAACCTCTGTTCGTTGACTCCTCCTTTGATCTTGATGGTAATTTGATACCATTGTTGTTGTTGTCATTGTTGTTGTTCCTGTTGTTGCTAAGTCTTCTGTTCCCAGTGTCTTCGCCGGTGCTTGACGTCCAGTACTGTAATAATTCATTGAATAATTAGCCGTTGATCGTCTAGGTCTTTGAATGTTGATCGTGTTGTTTTCTCTGTTGAATTCCGTTTCCTTCAGCCTTCTTTCTTCTTGTTCATGTTCAGTGCTTACCTCATCCATATTTGCCCGTGCCAGCGACACCACAGACTCAGCCCCAGCACTGCCGATGGCAGATGCAGGTGGCGGTTCTGGGGGAGGCAACGGCAACGATGGCGATGGGGGCATCACCATGATCACCTCGCCGCAGAGTCCACGTTGGTCTTGAGCTGGATGTTGTTGTGGTGTACTTTCTTGTGTTTTTATGGTGCATTGTGTCCATCAAGATCAAAGGAGGAGTCAACGAACATAGGTTCAGCAACATGAAGCGAGCCTGGGACTGATCGGTGGTGATGAGGAGAATGACACGGAGGACGACACTGAGGACGAGTTGGAAGATGAGACGGGGGACGAGGTTGCGGTTGGTGGAGACGAGGAATCGGATGGTGATTGTGATCGTAAGAAGTCTGCCGTTTTTCTTCATCTGTTGTCTCACCCTAAGTGTCTGCATGTGTATGATGATTTTAGTTTTTCTGTTCTTTGTCGTGCACGGTACGCTAGTCAGTTGAAAGTACTTGAGGCTGTTTGTATTCGTTTGCATAAGCCTGATCTTTGTAAGCAAAAGAAACATGTAGTTGCGTTAAGATTGTTTTCGTAGGTGCACAGCATGATTGTTTGTCTCACTATACAGTTCTAGCGTTGCAATTAGTTCCTCACCCCTGTTGCACTTAGCTCTCACTTTACTTCTATTGTCTCACCTTCCCTCATTCTATTTTTAGCACTTTGTTTTGTTCTCGTAACACATTATTGAATGTATATAAATTATTGATTTGGCATGGTTATTCTTCAGTCACGGCTTTCCACTGATGATTGTGACAAGAAAATCGATTTTGGTAAACCTTCATGACTTTGTTGTAGTGTGGCGATGACAGCAGAATTTGTTCTCTTTATAGCTATTATAAAATTGTTGTCTCCGCGTCGATTATTTGCAGATAACGATTTAATGTTTTTTTTTCGGATTTTTAACACAATGCCCTGCTGTGTTTGAGTTATTTTGATATCACTATGAGTCCACCCAAACCTGTAACCTGGTTTTCGTAGATTCTGGGCTATATACAATAAGCATTCTCATATTCAAAATTCTGAAGGACGCCTCCCGCAGCTTCTTTATAAATAATTTGTTTGCAGGCAAATTGCCTTCACTGAAATGAGCAGTGCATTATCACAAATACTAGTAATCCAGTAGTAATCCATTCTCAAACTAGTCACTTGAATTATGAACTTACTGTTGCCAATGCCAGCGCTAATTGCTCTCATGAAATTCTTGTCTTTCCTGTGTGACCTCATTATGGCTGCCAGCACCGACTGGAAACCGGTACTTCGATTGTTGAGCAGATCATATTCCCGTTGCGAAATATGGTACTCAGCAATGTCAGCCATGTTGGTGCGCTTCAAAAACTCCAGCTCATTTATCTCGCTCTCATCTTCATCCTCATCATCGTCCTCTGACAGATCCTCATTATCATCTGCCAATTCGTCTAAGACCACACTGCCTAAGAGTACAACAGCAGAAAGACATACTTCATATCAGGAACATAGACAGAATTACTTAGAAGTATGCCAAACCTGGTTTGGACCAGTTTTTGACTCAAATATCAAATTCTTGTTTTCTGAGTTTAAATTGAGCAGTAGACTACCAGGAGTTCTCAGAAAGCATTAGGGCTTGAAAGTCCTACGTCACAGCCAGTCCAGTGGCCATGACAACTCAGACTTATGGATCAGCTAGGATCCTTTTTGTATGGATTTTACACATTTGGGTGGCTCTCCTACGCAGCACAGTGATACATCTATTCTAAGTGACTGCACTGGGCTCTCCCGGACAGAGCCCCACTCCTGGTATAGAAAATGTCACACCTATTGTCATGATTATGCAACACGAGGGGTCCACTCATTACATCCTATACTTCGCCATGAGCAGAGTGGATACAAAAATGGGTAATTTAGGTTAGATTTCGACTTTCGACGACTTCTGAAATCAACGCTTTCAAGCACGATTGAGATTGGCACAAGCACAGAGAGAGGAATGGCAGCTGAAAGCACAGAGAGAGGAATGGCAGCTGAAAGCACAGAGAGAGGAATGGCAGCTGAAAGCACAGAGAGAGGAATGGCAGCTGAAAGCACAGAGAGAGGAATGGCAGCTGAAAGCACAGAGAGAGGAATGGCAGCTGAAAGCACAGAGAGAGGAATGGCAGCTGAAAGCACAGAGAGAGGAATGGCAGCTGAAAGCACAGAGAGAGGAATGGCAGCTGAAAGCACAGAGAGAGGAATGGCAGCTGAAAGAACAGAGAGAGGAATGGCAGCTGAAAGCACAGAGAGAGGAATGGCAGCTGAAAGCACAGAGAGAGGAATGGCAGCTGAAAGCACAGAGAGAGGAATGGCAGCTGAAAGCACAGAGAGAGGAATGGCAGCTGAAAGCACAGAGAGAGGAATGGCAGCTGAAAGAACAGAGAGAGGAATGGCAGCTGAAAGCACAGAGAGAGGAATGGCAGCTGAAAGCACAGAGAGAGGAATGGCAGCTGAAAGCACAGAGAGAGGAATGGCAGCTGAAAGCACAGAGAGAGGAATGGCAGCTGAAAGCACAGAGAGAGGAATGGCAGCTGAAAGAACAGAGAGAGGAATGGCAGCTGAAAGCACAGAGAGAGGAATGGCAGCTGAAAGAACAGTTTCTTTGACTAGCGCAGGTGTTTTAAAACTCAGGTATACACTAGGACACACACTCACACACACACATGTACGCAGAGGCAAACAAGCAAGGACGCATGCACACACACACACACACACACACACACACACACACACACACACACACACACACACACACACACACGGATGGACACACACACATACACACATGCATGCATACATGCACACACCCTTAGACATGCACCCACACGTGCATACACGTGTGCACAAACACACACACACACACAGACACATACACACACACACACACACACACACACACACACACACACACACACAACCTGAGAAACAGAAAAACACACAACACATAATAGCAAAATACCTGTTATCTCTCGAAAGTCAATTATGGTCAATGAGGAGATGTCAATGATTTGAAGTATATCCAGGCCTCGCAGCAGTCCAGGATAGTGTACTGCAAGGTAGAGTAGATGACCCAGTGTCCTCATTGGTAGCAGCAGTACCACCTGGATGGAATCCCAGTCGCCTTTGTAGATGACCTGAATTTGATTCTTGGAGAAGGTAAGGTCCTCCAGGTCCTCAATCACTTCCCTTTGGATCCTATGTTTAGTGTAGTCGTCAGGTTTTCCATTGATGATGATTTTGACCAATGTCCTAATATCTCCTCCTGCAGGACACATGTAGATTCACGTACATGACCGCACACACACACAGACACATGCTCACACACACCCACACACACACACACACACACACACACACACACACACACACACACACACACACACACACACACACACACACATACACACACAAACATACACACACAAACAGACACATGCTCACATACACACATGCACACACACACAAACAGACACATGCTCACATACACACATCACAACCATAAACATGTATTGTGAGTAATGTAGGTCTGCACACGCACATGCCCACCCAGACACCTAAGCCAGCAGCAATTCTGGTTGGCACATGGGTGGCGCTGACCTCATCGTGAAGATGGCTACATTTATATGTGGTCTGCACCCCTCTTAGTACCTTCTGAGTCTGGGTACTGATTGCATGGATACAACAACTGCTTACAATGCTTGAATTTGTGTTTTCCCGTCGACTGCACTTGATGTACATAGTGATTTCAAAGCGCCATCATGCAGTTTTCTCTCTCTCTCTCTGCAGATGCCTGGCTGATGTGCAAGATGATTATGATTTGTATATCTACTATCACCAGCCATGCATCAATCAGTGCACATGCAGTAGCCATACTTAACGTCAGGTACACATGTACATGGTTGGTTTGAAATCCTGGAGCAGACACTAGTATTGGTCTACCAGCCTGTGGCTGAGTACAGTAGTAGAATTTGTCCTACTTAGCTGTACACATTCACATACATGTATACATGAACAAGTTAGATAACAGGATATTTCAAACCTTTTCCTTCAACACTTGTGAGCGCAGGATCACTTCTTCTGCTCGTCGATTTGATTCTGATATTGGTCTCATTGAAGTGCTGCTTAGATAAACTGTCCAAGATAATTCCATCACAGTCAGCAGATGTCCTGAGTTTGCTGTCCACAAAAACCGTGACTCTAGCATTGCGCAGATCATCTTTTGTCCATCCTGGTCATACACATTGTTGAGGAATTGATACGGAAGAAAGCACAACAACATACATTCGCTGTTAATTTATTGCAAACCTGAGTAGCCAATGCACAATATTGGGAATCAAAATATTCCTGATCCAAGAATTTAGCATCAAGGTGTATACTGGGTCACACAAGGCGAATCTGAGCCGTGATATACCAGCATATGATTATGTCCTGGTCAGCCTTAGTTCCAGTCAGAAATCACCTGGTTTTAATGTGCCACTTCCGTTGGTACTAAGTTTATTCAAACAGCAGTATTGTATAAACACATTCTAGTCAAAGAAGGCTGATATCGTAGAATGGCTAATTGATATCAATATTCACCTGGTGCAAGTTTGGGTTCAGAGCAAGAATGAATCCGTTGACTCTGTCCAATCCTTCTTTGGGGGGTGGGTTGACCAGATCCGAATCTATGCCACCTGGATCCTGATTCTAACCGTCAAACACGTCCAAAGATTGCGAATCTGGATCCCAGGCCCACAGATTTGCACAATCCAACATGTCCTAAATGCCCATATAAGGCATGCCCTACATACCTTACCTTCGGTGTCTGAGCTAGCAGCAGAGCCGGAAAACCGTGAGTCACTTTCAGACATTTCGGGGCTGTCCAGGAGGAACTGAGACTTCTGCAGCAAAGAGGCCTGAGAATCTGGAACACACAGAAGGGCAAATTGGAACAGTCACATTGGAGCAGTCACTTGTGCAAAAAGTTTGAAATCTTCTCTACTGATGTTCTGTGAATTCAGGTCACCAGTTATGGCAACTAAAGTTAGAGAGAATGTGTATGAGTAAAGTCACACACAAGAATTACTTCCTCTGTGCAGAGAGTGCTCGATACCCTCATATCTCTTTCTCCCTCTCCCTCTCCCTCTCCCTCTCCATCCCCCTCCCCTCCCCCTCCCCTCCCCCTCCCCTCCTCTCCCCTCCCCTCCCCTCACCCTCCACATGCACATTGTAGATAACAGGCACACACGCCTCCAAGGACATAGACATAGTGCTTACCTGGACTGGTATGAGCCATACTTGGAGCTGACACATAGTCAATATGCCTGGACATTTCCTCCGTGAATGCTCTGCCAACATTGCTTAGTAGTGCCCTCTTGGCTTGCGGCTCCAGAGGCAGTGAAGAAAAAACTACAGCAGCTGCTGCCAGCTGTGCCGTGTTTTCAAGGTGGACTGACGCTGGTTGCTGTGTACTCTGCTGCATTGCAGTTCCTCTCCTAGCAGCATTACCATCAGCTGTAAAGCTGCCAGTGCTAGTGTTAGCTGAGCTGGCAATGGGATGTGTTGGAGTGGCTTGGGTGGGTGCACTCATACAGGTCTGGCTAAGACCAAATGTAGTCTCTGCCGTAGTAGAAGGACCTGACATTGATGATGGTGATCTACCAGTGGAGGAGCAAGCTAAGGCTGCACCGGGCTGCAGAGCAATAGGCGGTTGTGCACCTGCCATAGTACACAAACACACAGACATGTCCGCATCCACAAACGGATTATATGATTTCAGGCTGCATACATTATATGAGCATAAAAACACTCAAACATCAAATTCCATTGATTAAGAATGCTTCCATGGTGATTGGCTGGTGCCAGGACACCTCAGTTCATGCCATTCTGCGAAATCGTTCAGGTCTATTTCTCATTCACCGTAAATCTGATGAAACAGGATGTAGAAACTGTATGGATGGCTGGGGGGACCTGTACACGGTCTGACTATCCGTACAGTATGACATGCAGCAGCTATTACAATAGCCAGCATAACGCTAGCATTCGTGACGTCTCCTCCCGACCTGCTTTCAAACAAGAAATCTGCTCACTGCTGATTAACTCAATCTGCTCCTGCAGCGCTCACCCTCTCCCATACTTGTAAAGTTCAAAGTGATGTAAATCACTTTCCAACTGTTTAACCCACAATCTCACCTTCTCATAAATTTATCTCTTATTGGCGATGGTGTCATCGTGAGAATAAAGAATTCAAAAACTCATCGTGAATGATAAAGCTATGGGCCGTGATCAGTTTACTCAAGGCCTTAATTCTTGTTTTTCATTGCCAGTGCTGCCAACCTTCCGTATTTTTATGTATGGGTATGGAAAATCACTCCTTCGTCCGCAGTACGGAATTTGAGCAAAATGGTACTGAAATTTGAAGAGTATCGACCAGCTACAGATATGTATGTAGATGCATGGTGAGTGCAAGCTGAGCGATGCATATCCATATGCCATAGCAAGTGCATACCATGCTTCGACTACATGTAGCACAAAATATTATGTCGTGGTACAGTCGCACGTGCTTTGCTAGCAAATTCAGTCACCGACATGCATGTGGGTGTAAAAAAAGCACAATACAAGCAATGCACATGGTAGTACATCGGTAGCACGGACAAGCACTGAAAAACACGGAAAATCAGAAGTCGAAGTACGCAAAACAGACCGATTTCGTTCGCAGCACTGCATTACCATAGGAATTGATTTATCAGGTTCGTCTGACACACTCCTGGGCTATCCCGAATTACACATAAATAATATAAAGTACACGGTAATACGGTTGTACTCCTGTTTCTGGCGTTCATTGTCGATGTAGTCCTTTGCGACCATGACCATCACTGCAACTTCCCGTAACTTCTTACGTTGCTTCCTGTCTCGTCCCCTTAGAATGTCAGCTAGGCAAAACTCACCTGAATAATGGCAATGATGAAGTGCTGGTACAGCTGATACTGTGGCTGTTGCTCCTAGTTCTGACTCTGCTGTTGCTCCATGCGCACGTTCTGGCATTGCCGTTCCAATTGGAAGCCTTGCCTGGAGTGATGCTTGAGGGGTTAATACAGTTGCTGATGAAGTTACTGCTAATGCTCCTTCCATTGCCACTGCTGCTGTTGCTGCTGCTCCTGCCATTGCCCCTGCTGCTGCTGCGGCTGCTGCTATTGTTGTTGCTGCTGTTGCTCCAGCTGCTTCTCCTCCCTCTGCTCCTCGTCTTGCTGCTGCAGTTCTGCTTTTCATCGGTGGACACAGTGGTGCTACTTGCTGTCCAAGTGGCGATGTACTCGTTGTCCCTGGAGTGGATTGATACGCTGCATATCCTGATGAGGGAGCCGCTGCTGTTGGGTGGTCTTCAGTTGGCATGATTACAGTTGGGTCTGCACTGGTTGCTATGGTGTTGGCTGACTCTGGTTGCCCAACACTGGATAGCAATTCTGGTCACGGGACAAAATGAATACAAAGAAGGAAAATAGAAAACCCCACAGTCATGACATCATAATAATTATTCCCAAGCTTCAGAGAGTTGACTGCCACCGCCACGACTCACCGATACCAATGTCTAATCCGATACCACAGGACTGGCAGAAGCAGTTTTTTGATTGGTGTGGCCATACCCTAGCCTTTTTATACTTTGTGAATGATCTGCTGGCCACCCATTACCTAACCAGAACGGAAATACACTACAAGGCTAAAGAGACCAGCAATGGAAATCTTCTTCTGTGCTGTTAGTTGATAGAGCTTGCATTGCGTGCAGAACACAGTTATAAGGCATACACAGGGTAACATGCACAGACTGCTGATAATTTACAGAACGTTCATTACACTAATCAAAACAGCATCAAGAATCACCTTGCTCTGGGTTAGCTACAATACGAAGCATCTCCAAGTGTCGGTCAAAGTAGCCCATTTGGTGGATCACTGAACATAAGACCTGATAGGATTTTGTCTCTCCAGGACAAAGTATTGAAATCAATTGTGCATTGTGTTCAGCCGTTCCCTTTTGGTCTTGTATCTTCCTCAAACGTTCCAGTTGGTCAAAGCTGATTAGTCCTTCTTTCTGAACTAGACGACGAAGCCGATCAGGGTCAACATCTTGTAACCACACGTGAATTTTGGAGACAAACTCCGTTGTTTTGTACGGGTTGCCTACAGAGAACAAGACCAAAAATCAAAGAGAAATGTGTCAGCTTCACAAGCACAAAAATCACCATAAGTGTATTTGCAATGGGAACTTGAAGAGCTGGACAACCCGCTACATCTATTTCATCACTTTTTGAATAGTGGCCAAAAAAGAATTCATTTTATGTGCGGTTTGTATGTAACATGTGTGCTTTGGGCAGCAAGGTATATTTAGCCCTGGCACACGCTCAATATTGACATAGTGCTGTGAGTGGTGCGTGCGCATGGGTACGGCGTTGAAAGCACAACCAGGTGCGTGGGAGTGTCTGCATTTTTGTTTGTGCACATGAATGTGTGTGTCTGCGCCCAAGCGCCTGCGAGTGTGCGTAGGCGGAGGTGTGCCCGCAGGCCTGGGTGTGTACCCGTGGGCCTGGGCTAAGCCATACTTGGGCTCCTATTTTGAAATGGTTCTAGTAAGTATTAGAGTGTGACATTTTTCCTCGTGCTGCCCTGAGACCTATTAATGACACTAAGCTGAACATATGATTTTCACAAGATTTGCCCGTATCAGGTTCTGCATCTCAGCTCTTCACTTGCAACCTAATGTCGTGACTAGCGACCAGCCTGGTACTACAGACCACTTTGCCAGGCACGGACGGACTCACATTCATATTAATTATGGTTGTGCGGTGCAAACCTCTAACTGAGGACCACCTGCCACTAAAGACCGCTATCTCTGGCACCAAGGGGTGGTTGTTAGTCACAGGTTTTACTGTAGATATATTGGCAGACTGACAGGCTTGCCGACAGGTAGTGGATGTATTTACGGACAAGCGAGGGGGTGGAAAGTCTGACTGACAGATGACTGGATGGTTGGAGGGCTGGGTCTCTGGCTTCAGGGCTGGCTAGATTACTGGCTGGATCAATAGATAGCTGGCTATAGTGACGCATAGATAGAGGTATACAATGTACCTCGATGGATGAATGCATGGATGGAGGGATGGATGGGTGGACTAGTGGATGTATGAATGGATTGGGGGATAGATGGGTGGACTAGTGGATGTATGAATGGATTGGGGGATAGATGGGTGGACTAGTGGATGTATGAATGGATTGGGGGATAGATGGGTGGACTAGTGGATGTATGAATGGATGGATGGATAGATGGGTGGACTAGTGGAGGTATGAATGGATGGATAGATGGGTGGACTAGTGGATGTATGAATGGATGGATGGATAGATGGGTGGACTAGTGGATGTATGAATGGATGGAGGGATGGATGGATAGATGGGTGGACTAGTGGATGGAGGAATGGATGGAGGGATGGATGGGTAGATGGGCGGACTAGTGGATGGAGGGATGGATGGAGGGATGGATGGATATATGGGCGGACTAGTGGATGGAGGGATGGATGGAGGGATGGATGGATGGATAGATGGGCGGACTAGTGGATGGAGGGATGGATGGAGGTATAGATGGGTGGATGGGCGGACTAGTGGATGGAGGAATGGATGGAGGGATGGATGGATAGATGGGCGGACAAGTGGATGGAGGGATGGATGGAGGGATGGAGGGATAGATGGGCGAACTAGTGGTAGATGGATGGATGGATAGATGGGCGGACTAGTGGATGGAGGGATGGATGGAGGGATGGATGGATAGATGGGTGGACTAGTGGATGGAGGGATGGATGGGTGGATGGGTAGTTGGAGGGATGGGTGGATGGGTAGTTGGAGAAATGGGTGGATGGATAGATGGATTGATGGGTGGATGAATAGATGAATGGATTGATGGATTGCTGGATGAATGGATTGATTGATGGATGAATGGATAGATGGATGGACGGGTGGATGGGCGGATGGGTGGATGGGTGGACAGATGGGTGGGTGGATGGATAGATGGATTGATGGGTGGATGAATGGATGGATGGACGGATGGATGGATGGATGGTTGGATGGATGGAAGGATGGGTTTATAGCTGGATTATTGGAGAGATAGATGGATGGATGGGTGGATTTATGGGTGGATGGACGAATGTATGTAGTTTGGAGTTGACAGGAGGGCATGCACATCGAAACCACGCCTTGTCAACGACCCGTTCTTGCTCAGTTTTAACGACCACACTCAGCAAAGAACAAAAACAACAACGAAGCACAACGACACACCAACGCTGATGTGGCATCGCAAATCCCGTACCGTGCACGCAGGCACTGGGTTGCAACAGAAAAAAGACGCGCTGCAAGCGTGCCAAGCAGCGAGTGAGTACAGAACGCGTACTAATGCCAGTCATGGCAACGGAAGATAAAATTATGGAGATCGACCCGGCCGCGCATGGTTCGATCGAGAGCAGAGTACGAAAAAAGCATACATTCAAAGTTCAAACTGTGCAACAGAAGCAGAAGAGGAAAACGAAAATGAACACTTGTCGCGAAGTGAAGTGCTTCTGTCCAAGGGTGCTTGCACCCGACGGGGTGACAGCGCCCCTAGTCAGACAATACAAGGCAAACGAAATAGAAATTAGCTGAGTCACAGCGCGGGACTCCGAAACGAAAACCGGTGAGTATGTAAATATTAATTGTTTTGTACCTGCTGTACAACGTAACAATTCGTAACGTAATTTCAAACTAGCACTCGTAGAATTGTAGTGCGAATGTGCCACTCGATTATAGTGACAACGACAAAGAGATACTCTTCTAAACATTTCTCTCCCTTCTCACTGTGCCGAAATTCACAGTGACCAAAAAAAATCGAAATTGATTATTGAATTATTGAAAAAATTGATTATTGTTCTGAAATAGGCAAACAAGGAGCTACTCACAGAACAGCTTACAAAGACGCACGATTGGGCGGGTGTAGGTCTTGTCGCCCACCTTGACCTTCACAACTCTCCGTCTGGACCAGGGTGCACTTCGGTGACGCGACCCATTGGCCAAGTGCCCCGTGGGTTGTCTTGGGATGTCACTAGAACGATGTCGTCGACCTTGAGGTCTGTCTCGGCCGTCCTCCACTTGAGTCGCCGGTTCAGCTCTGGCACGACTTCCTGCATCCATCTCCGCCAAAAGTGCAGCACGAGTTCTTGCACTACACGCCAGCGTTGCCGAGGGTTGAACTCGCTCTCGTCCACTCCTGCAGGTGCGAACCGAGTACCGATTTGGCCATACATGAAATGATTGGGCGTTAGCGGAGTTGGGTCACGACCATCTGCCGACACGTAGGACAGTGGCTGTGAGTTCATGAGCGCCTCCGCGCCGACGATAGCAGACAATAGCTCCTCGTCTGTGACCTCCGCGTTCTTCAGAATCGCCGAGATAGCACGCTTTGCCGATTTCACTAACGCCTCATGCACTCCGCCGAAATGTGGTGCTGCTGGAGGGTTGAAACGCCAGCTAGTCTGCTGATCTGCTGTCTGCCGCTGAATCGCCTCTGCATCAAGCTGCTTGACTAGCTGAGCAAGCTCATTGGTGGCGCCGACGAAATTCGTGCCATTGTCGGAGATGACGTCGATCGGTACTCCCCGTCGATTGGTGAAGCGTACGTACGCCTGCAGGAACGAGTCCGTTGTCAACGCGTATGACAGCTCGAGATGCACTGCTCTCGTCTGCAAGCAGGTGAACAAGCACAGGTACCGCTTGTGTTGTGTCTTGCCGCGACCCTGCTTCGTCATAAACGGTCCAGCGTAGTCTACGGAGACTCGGCCGAATGCGCGTAGCGGCAGGCTGACTCGGACCTTAGGTAGTGGTGCCATCACCTGCATTGCCGGCTTCGTACGGTTCCGGGCGCACCTCGCACACGTGGCTTCCCAAGCTCGCACCTCTTCGCGGCCAGCGACGATCCAGTAGCGCGACGAGAGTTCGGCTAGCGTATGGCTGACACCGAACGCGTGATATCCTCGTTCGTGACATGCCTTGACAATCAGCTGTGTCACATGATCCCCTCGTGGTAGGACGATCGGATTGCGTTGTTATGCAGTCAAGAAGTCTGCATGCTGTAGTCGACCTCCGACGCGTAGAAGGCCAGCGTCGTCAATCATTGGCTTGAGCGAGACCAGCTTGCTGGTTGCCGGGATCGGCTTGCCTGCCTTAACTGCAGCATACTCTGGTAGCGACTGTTGCTGCGCTCGCTTGATGAAGAACTCCTCAGAGTCTCGGATCGCTGGTGGCGATAATTCGTCAAACTCTCGTTGTGCGGGTGGTACTGAGCAATTCGTAGCGAATCGCACACACCAAGCATGAACACGGCACATTCGTACCCAGTCGGAGTAGCGGCTTGGCTCTAGACGATTCAGCTCGCTGTGGCATTGGTCGACGGTCACCGCAGTCAGCTCGATGGACTCGTCCGTCGGTTGATTGTCTTTCTTCAACTCCAGAGTTGACGGACGGGGCTTCATTTCTGGCTGAACAGGCCATTCACTTTCAGCGGCACCCAAGAAGCAGGGACCGTTCCACCATAAACTGCTTCCCGCCAACTCTTGCACTGACATTCCTCGAGAGACCAGGTCGGCTGGATTGAGCGCGGTGGGCACGTACCGCCACTGGGTAGGATTGGTTTGCCGTTGAATCTCGCCCACTCGACTAGCCACAAACTGCTTGAAGGTGCGGCTGTAGTTGGTGATCCAGTGCAGAACGTTGCTGCTGTCCGACCATAGCGTCGTTGCTCGGGGGTCGAGGTTCAGTGACTCGGCGGATGATGTGGCGAGCGTTGCTCCGGTTGTCGCCGCCATTAGCTCAAGCCGCGGAACGCTGACAGCAGTCACTGGTGCCACACGGACCTTGCTTGCGACGAACCGTGCTGTCGGTTCTCCAGTGTCATAGTGACTGACCAGATACGCGACTGCTCCGTATGCGACCTCGGACGCATCTGAGAACACGTGAAGCTGGCTGCTGATTGCTGTGCGTCCCGTGGCCGTCAGGCAGCGTGGTACACGCACTGTTGATAGCTCCGTCACCTGCTCAAGCCAGCCGAGAACCTTCTTGACGATTGCTGGGGGCAGTTGCTCATCCCATGCTGCTCCACAAAGCCACATCTCTTGCAGCAGGACCTTTGCTTGCACGAGGTACGGTGCGAGGAGTCCAAGTGGATCAAACAAACTTGCTGTTGCACTGAGAAATGCGCGCTTCGTAGGATTTGAGCCGATCTCCGACAGCTGCAGCTGGAACGTGAACTGGTCCTCCTTGGCAAGCCAGAGGACTCCCAGTGTCTTGACATTCGGCAGCTCTCCCTTCGTGAGGTTGATCTCCTCAGCGCGATCCTCCTCCGGGATGGTCTGCAACACCGCCGTGGAGTTGCTCAGCCATTTTCGCGGGTGCATACTGGCTTTGTGCCACAACGCCGACAGCTGCCTTACGAGCTCAACGCCTTCCTCATCGCTTCGAACAGAGTCCATGGAGTCATCCATGTACGTTGACTCAAGGACCGTTTCCGCTGCACGAGGATAGGTGTCGGCGTGCTGATGAGCATTGTGTCTAGCCGCGTACTGCGCTAGGAAAGGCGATGCGTTCACACCAAAGACCACTCGATTGAACTCGTATGTGGCCGGTTCCTGCTCGTTATCCCGCCAAAGAAAGCGATGGAAGGGCCTGTCCTCCGGAGCCAGGGATATCTGGAGATACATCTCCTGGATGTCGCAGATGATGGCGACCTTGTTCTGCCGGAAGCGCAGGAGTACCTTCGGTAGCGATTGCTGCAGCTTGGGACCAGCACTGATAACATCGTTCAGCGCTACACCATTGCTGATGCCAGCTGCGTCGAAAACCACACGTGTCTTCGTGGTGGCCTTATCTTCACGGATGATGGCGAAGTGTGGAAGGTACCATTCGTTTACAGAACCTCCACACTCGTTGTCAGGCACTCGTCGAATGTACCCGTTGGCTAGGTACTTGCGGATGACATCGCTGTACGCTGTTGCTGCTGCTGAGTCACGTCGCAGCCGCTTCTCCAAGCTGTGCAGACGGCCGAGTGCCTTCGCTCGGCTTTCAGGCATGACTGGACGTTCGGATTTCCAGGGTATGCCAACGCAGTAGCGGCCGTCCGTCACCTTCAACGACGCTGCAACTTTCTGCTCTGCCACCTTGTCGTCGCGTGACATGAATTTCGTAGTGCTGCTGTTCACTTCTTCGATTTCCCACAGGCGCTTCAAGCTGCTCTGTAGGTCACCGTCGCTGAACATTGTGAAGCAGCAGCTCGCCGCTGGGTGTGCTGGTTGTACTTGGCCGATGCAGGTCCAACCTAATGCCGTCCGACGCGCCACGGGCTCATGGCTGTTACCCGAGCGCTCTTCATACGCCATGTGAAGCTCCGGATAGTCGGCACCGATAAGCACGTCAATGTGGCGTTTCGACGGTAGCGGCGGAAACTCAACGTTGGCTAGATGTGCGTACTGCTTTCCCAGGTGGTGCCAGTCTACAACTTCCATGTTGCCTGTTGGCTGCTCGATCGTGCACGCATGGAGAGTCGTCGACGTGGCTCCGTCAACACTTCGCAGAGTGCACGATACTGGTACAGTGTGAATGGTCTCTTGCTGTCCATTCAGCTTGCTGATGGTCAGCGACATGCTGGATCCAATCAGGCCGAGTTCTGCCGTAACATTGCTCGCTATGTACGAGCGCGTGCTGGCGTCGTCCAGCAGCGCGTTAACAGTTAGCGACCGCTTGCCGTTGGATAGCTGAACGGGAACTGTCCGAATCGACGTCACCGTCCGTACTCTATTCTCCTCTCCCTTCGTGCTGTTTCCGAGGGAGACAGCACTGAAGTTCTCCGGCTGCATGGCTCCAGTCTCTCCGGAGGCGTGGGTTGACGACGCTGGAAGCGGTTGACGGGGCTCACTGTGCAGCAGGCGATGGTGATGCTGCGTGCACCCGTCGATACCGCACTCCCGGTCCCGTGGGCAATCCTTGCCGCTATGTCCAGTCGCAAGGCATCTATAGCATGACTTGCTTCGCTTCGCTGCTGCCCAGCGCTGGCTTACAGTTTGTTTCTCAAACTCTGGGCAACGCCAGATCGGGTGCCCGCCGCCATTGCAGCATTGGCATGTGGACCTTGCGGTCGGCACGTTGCCAGCGGTGTTTGTAGCTGTCACGAACGTGGTCGTGCGCGGTTGCACAGCGTCGTGAGCAGTTGCCGTCCGAGTCGGCTGATTTCGACTTGTCCCGCTGGTTGACAATTGGTTTCTGACGTGATGCTGCTGGCTGATGCCTTCGATAGTTTCCGTGGCGGCAGAAAGAACTTCTGCCTCGGCATTCAGCCACTCCAGCAGCACCTCGACCGATTCGTCCTTTTGGTGGTGTACTATCCAGCGGCGATACTGGGCCAACAAGTTCACCGGCAGCTTCTGCTGGATCCGCTGGTAGAGAATGCCGGTACCTAGCTCGGTGTGCATACCGGCATCCTTTAACGTCACCACTGCCATGTCGAGCACATCGGTAAAGCGCTCCAGGTCCTGGGCTCTACCGGATCGAATAGGTGGAGATCGTTCCAGCTCTTCCATCCTAACCGCAAGGCGCCGGCGACTCCCACCGAAGCGTCGCTCCAGCCGCCGCAGAGCAGCATCGTATGCTGCTGCCGAGTAGCCAAGACTCTCGATGGCATCCAGCGCCTCACCCGCCACGTACTGTCGGAGCTGCAGCAGTTTGAATTCAGCGGAGAGCGGCTGCTGGTCCACACAAACGCTGAAAGCGGATTTCCAGCGCTCGTATTTTCGCTTCTCTCCGGTGAACACGGCAATTTCGATCCGCTTCAACTTGCTGGCGATGTTGATCTGTGCAGCTGCCGCTGGAGCAGTCCGTGGCGCAGGTCGAGCTGCGGTGCCTCCGACATATGTCGGAACTGGGGCGAATACTGCGGTCTGGGGTGCTTGCATGCCAGCGCTGGGTCTCACACCGTACTGTGACGCTCCGGCAGAGATGGTGTGCGACGGTCCAGTAGACACAGGTGAGTTGTACACGACTGCACTATTGCTCGCACTCCACTGCGGCTGCTGTTGTTGGTACATGTATGCCTGCTGCGGCCTAGCAGTATTGTTGCCATACGTTGCATACATCATACTAGGTGTTTGATCAGCAGGATCGTGGATCAGGAAGGCAGAGCCTTGTTCCTGATTTATAGCGGGAGCGTTGCTGCCCGTGGTCATAGTTGCAAATGACGCTGGCAGCACTGAACTACGTGGCTGGTACTCTGCAGCTGCTGCAGATAAAGCGGTGCATGCATTGCTGTTGATCATATCCGTTTGCGGGGGCGCGTGTGCTGACGCGGTTGCCATGGCAACGGTCGGGAAGGGTTCGGCAGGTTCCCCCACACGCTGACCACTGAACATTACAACACGACTGTCCGGCTCTTCTTTCACCCGTTCTCCATAGTCTGCAGCACTGGGCAACATAACCCGCGTATCGTCCTGACGATCAAGAAACGGTGCATCTTGGAGCGCCGCACGCAGATCTAGAATTTCTCTGCTTTCCTCGCGCACTGACGCCAGTAACGGCGTTGCCCCTCTCAGTGGCAATTGCTTGGGACTGGGAGTCTGCCTGGTCGACGCTGCCAGGCTCGCTCTGCTGCTCCTGATGAGCACACTCCTGGCTAATTCCATGGCATCTGAATACTGGCCTTCCAGCTGCTTGTACTGCTTTTGGAGACCAGCATGTCTCCTAGAGTCAGTATCCACCACCGCTTCCATGTACTCCATGATGACCTTCTTGGTCTCGTCATACACTGTCGTCAAGTGGCTTCTCCATGCCTTTACGTCATCTTGGTTCGGCACCTCATTCGTTGACTCCACTGTCAAATTTCTCCTCGTATTTGTGAAATCCGTTTTCAGCTCTCGCTTTTTCCGTGCGAGGTCTTCTAGTTTTACCTCCATGATGGCTCCGTGAAAACCATCCTCTGCTACCAATAGTTTGGAGTTGACAGGAGGGCATGCACATCGAAACCACGCCTTGTCAACGACCCGTTCTTGCTCAGTTTTAACGACCACACTCAGCAAAGAACAAAAACAACAACGAAGCACAACGACACACCAACGCTGATGTGGCATCGCAAATCCCGTACCGTGCACGCAGGCACTGGGTTGCAACAGAAAAAAGACGCGCTGCAAGCGTGCCAAGCAGCGAGTGAGTACAGAACGCGTACTAATGCCAGTCATGGCAACGGAAGATAAAATTATGGAGATCGACCCGGCAGCGCATGGTTCGATCGAGAGCAGAGTACGAAAAAAGCACACATTCAAAGTTCAAACTGTGCAACAGAAGCAGAAGAGGAAAACGAAAATGAACACTTGTCGTGAAGTGAAGTGCTTCTGTCCAAGGGTGCTTGCACCCGACGGGGTGACAGCGCCCCTAGTCAGACAATACAAGGCAAACGAAATAGAAATTAGCTGAGTCACAGCGCGGGACTCCGAAACGAAAACCGGTGAGTATGTAAATATTAATTGTTTTGTACCTGCTGTACAACGTAACAATTCGTAACGTAATTTCAAACTAGCACTCGTAGAATTGTAGTGCGAATGTGCCACTCGATTATAGTGACAACGACAAAGAGATACTCTTCTAAACAGTATGGATGGATGGATGGGTTTATAGCTAGATGATTGGAGAGATAGATGAAGTGAGGGAGTGAGTGAGGACATGATAGTATGAGATGGAGGGATGATGGCATGAAGGGCAGGAGCGTTGGAGGGATGATCAAACAGGCGGCCGGAAGGACAGTTGAATAAACCGATGGGAACGATGATGGAATGCCTAAATGTGGGGAGGCAGATTGATTTTACATTCTCCCAACTTGAACTTTACTTACCTGCCATCTGGAAACCTTGCTTGGTGTGACATTCAACAAGCAGTCAATAGAACTGTAGAAAGATAGGGGAAGAATGCAAACAAAGACACAGTTAAGTGTTTTTTCTATGTCAATGCAGTGCTCAGAACAACAGTGGGTTGAAATGCTTTACCAAGAAGGTGGAATGGTGTTTGGCTTGCAGCGTGACCTTCACGCTATACTATCATAAGGCGAAACAATTCGTGTTTGACGTTAACATTACTCCGCCTAAGCGGTGAGAGAGGAGAAGGAGGGGGGGGGGGTCACCTAGGTAGCACTGGGCCGCTGGCTCTTCAGGCATATATTGGACATGTGCAGTGCATGAAAAGGAGTCTGTAAAAAAAACACCCTCCGGACCCCTTTAGGTATGTCCCTGTTGGAGGTAGCACAGTTCAAAACTCCAGTTGAAAGCCAAACCTCATTCTGTATTCTTTGGCCAGACAAAGAGAGGTGGATAAACAGACGGATAAGAGGACAAGGACAAAGACAATCGAGACAGGCAGATGGCAACAGATGGGAGGACAGACAGGTAGACAAGTGGAGAGAGAGAGAGAGAGAGAGAGAGAGAGAGAGAGAGAGAGAGAGAGAGAGAGAGAGAGAGAGAGAGAGAGAGAGAGAGAGAGAGAGAGAGAGAGAGAGAAGAGATGGAGAGAGAGAGAGAGAGAGAGAGAGAGAGAGAGAGATAGAGAAAGAGAGAAAGACAGATTGACGGAGACGGACACACAGAGAGAAAGAGAGAAAGAGAGTGACAGAGATAGAGACAGAAACAGACGCAGAGACAGCAGGATACGGAGAGAGAGGGAGTAAAAGACAGAGACAGAGACAGACAGAGAGAGAGAAAAAGAGAGTAGGAGAGGGAGAGAGAGAGAGTCAAACAGACAGACAGCGATTGAGTCGTAGACATAGACAGAGACAGAGACAAACACAGGAACAGACACATAGAGAGACAGAGTCAGTCAGTCAATCAGTCAGTCAATCAGTCAGACAGACAGACAGACAGACAGACAGACAGACAGACAGACAGACAGACAGACAGACAGACAGACAGACAGACAGACAGACAGACAGACAGACAGACAGACAGACAGACAGTCAGGCAAGCAGAGAGAAAAGCAGACAACAGGCAGACAGACAGAGAGAAAATTGTCAGACAACGCGCTCAGCACCTGACCCTTAGAAAAGAGAGAGCAGTTACCTACTTTTGGCTAGGGACTCTTGCTAATACTTGTAGCCAAATGTCCACATCACAAACCAATGCCTATGCAGACAGAGACAGACAGACAGACAGACAGACAGACAGACAGAGAGTAGGGTAGGAGAGGGATAGAGAGAGAGAGAGTCAGACAGACAGGAAGCGTTTGAGACGTAGACATAGACAGAGACAATCACAGAAACAGACACAGAGTCAGTCAGTCAGTCAATCAGTCAGACAGACCAACAGACAAAAAGTTAGGAAATCAGAGAGACAAGCAGACAACAGGCAGACAGACAGACAGACAGAAGATTGTCAGGGAGAGAGAGAGAGAGAGAGAGAGAGAGAGAGAGAGAGAGAGAGAGAGAGAGAGAGAGAGAGAGAGAGAGAGAGAGAGAGAGAGAAAGAGAGAGAAAAGACAGATTGACAGCGACAGACACATGGAGAGACAAAAAAAAAGATAGAGACAGAGACAGACACAGATACAGCAGGTTATGGAAAGAGAGGGAGTAAGAGACAGAGACAGACAGACAGAAAGAAAGTAGGAGAGGGAGAGAGAGAGAGCGTCAGACAGACAGACGGCGATTGTGGACATAGACAGAGACAGAGACAAACACAGAAACAGACACATAGAGAGACAGAGTCAGTCAGTCAGTCAGTCAATCAGTCAGACAGACAGACAGACAAAGAGTCAGCCAAGCAGAGAGACAAGCAGACAACAATCAGACAGACAGACATAACATTGTCAGACGTCATGCTCAACAGCTGACCCTTAGAAAAGAGAGAACAGTTACTCACTTTTGGCTAGGGACTCTTGCCAATACTTGTAGCCAAATGTCCAATTTCTTAACCAATGCCTATGCCGACAGAGATAGAGATAGACAGAGAGAGAGAGAGTAGGGAAGGAGAGGGGGAGAGAGAGAGATCCTCAGACAGA